AGACAGTATCCCAAAATGAGGAAAAACAGGTCTTGTTTCACACCGGGTGAGAATAGCCTACGCTGGCAAGTCTCACCCGGGGTGAGAGGTAGATCGTTATTTCTATTCTCACCCCGGGTGAGAATAGCCACTTCCCTGTTATTAAGCAGTCCAAGCTCTTTTCACATCATGGAGCTAACGAGAGCACACTACACCGGCTTCTGATTGGCTGTATATAGTGACGTGTACACATACCAAATTTGGTATTATTACTATGACCTTAGGCCTAGTGGAATGTAGTTGGAAATCTAGGTCACCAATGAGCGAGCGAGCGTCTGCTGATGATCTCTATTGTAGAGCAGAGGCCAAGGAAAGATCAGTACTGATAAAAACTGCAGTAGTTCTCTAGTTTCTACCCCTTGTGTAAACTATAGGACATATTGTTTTTAGAGTGCCTTGTTAATCAAGTCATTTTAAGATAGATACGTGTAGTCTAAATGACTCTAGATCTATTTTTTATGCAACATTTAAGCCAATCAGAAGCTGGTGTAGGCTATCGTCCTCGTGACGTCGTTTCATTTATAACATATTTTAGCCAATCAGAACCTGGTGTAGTGGGCTCTCGTTAGCTCCATGAGCTCTTTTCTTCACTTTAATTTTTTTTCCTTAAATATCTATTCTTTCTTTTTTTTTTTTTCTTACCTTCTTTCCCCTTTTTCTTGAACATTTGGAGTGTGGAGCCCAAAAAGAGCTAGAGGACCAAATGAAATTCTCTGGGCCAGACGTGATCCTAAAGAGCCAAATTTCTGGGATTTGGCTCCAAACTGACAGCCCTGACTGTGACTATTCGGACATGAACACAATCCTGTGGAGCATCAGCCCCGGTTACCTCAGCCCTGATCCCTCTATGGTCATTTGCGGTAATACGAGGTGGTGTGAATAGTGAGACAGGTTATTATAATTCTCACCGCGGGTGAGAATAACCTCTTCCCTCCAAATATTGCACGACACATCTCTGAAAATTTTAACTTACCTAATTTTTTCAGGTCTAAAAGTCCTTTTAATCCATAGGAATCAACACAAAATATTGTAGTACTATCACCCTAGCACACATTTATGCAAGAATTTCACGAATTATATTTTTCTCTGAAGGGATTTTCATTTTTATTATACCAGGCTCTATATATTATATTGTTTACCCTTGCGTAGTACCTGCACAGCGACAACAAAACAATAATTTTTGCCAGAATTTCGCTGAGTTTCTATCGATTTTGGCGCTCATAGATTGAGGTCAGGCTCATTTACTAGCCTTTCAACAACTTAAAAAGTAAGATGAACCATGTTAAAAGAGTGCGCATTCTTTTCGGATTTCGCTCGGATTTCATTGAGCCGCTCACAACGGTCGAATGGCGACAGCGGGAAAACCCAGAGCTGCTGTCGGCGGCCGAATGGACGGAATCTGTTAAGTTACTTTCTCGATCAGTTTTTGGATTAGGACCGTGAAGCCTGAAGTGTAAGTCTAGTCTCTAGATTTCTACTTGATCTAGTGCACTCAAAAATTCGCAGCACAACTTATCCTCAAATATCTCTTGAATGGGTGAATCAATGTCATCTATATTTTGCAAAGCAGTTTGTTTAAATTTGTTTTAAATGAAACATATATTTTTCCACAATTAAAAGACTGGATTAAAAACCTTTTCTTCATAAATTTATAGGGCCTACACGCCTACTGTACGTCTCCATCATGCTTTAAATGTGATTGTTCACAGCACTTTGCCCTTCTCACACACATTTTGCATACACACATATGGCCTAGATCTACATCTCAGCTCACCAATGACACTTTTTAGTGGCAAAACTTGAATAAATGAAGAAAGACAGAAAAGGTGAATTTTAGGAAGATATCCTATGTTAATATGCGCACAGCTCAGGCTCAGTTTGTATGTTGTTGGCTTCTCTTCTCTAGTTTTACCATGATTAGTTAGTGCCCAAGGTAATATTCATATATGAAGCATAAAGGAAAATAGAGAGGTTTTTTTTTCTAAAGATTTAAATTTGTTTGTGTGTATGCCAGAGGGTTTTGGGTTGCTATGGGTGCAAGTGAGAACTAGAGGCTTCTGAGTAAATTTTTGCGACATTATCTCTTTGATTTGATAGCATTATAACAGTGAAACTGTTTGCACTGCAGCAAAGAGAAAGAATTCAGATGAATGGGCTAGCTCTTATTAGATGATTGGACTTGAGAAGAGTGTGATTGTACCTCTATAAAAAAATCACTCAGTTTGCCTTATAGTGCAGTCAAAAATTCGTGGCACGACCTATTGTCATATATATATTTCCCCAACCATCAGACATGAGACTCTCCAACTTTTGCTCAATGACTTTGAATATGAATATCAATTTGTTTCAACAGAGGAATATTTTATTAAACACCTAGAACTCTCCTAAATGAAAATTAACAAAAAATTAAATCTCATTAGATGGTTTCAGTCTCTCTTCAAATTTTAAAAGGTTCTTTTTGTATGAGCTGCGATACTTTTTTGAAAGGCAAGTCTGTCCTGTCCTACTTTTCTAATCTCTATGAAAGGTGTGAAATAACACTGTAGTTTTTATATTTTTTTCTGTTTTAGCAAGCATAAATAGTATACATTTTATTATTGTTTAAACTAAAATGCACTGGCACAAGCTCATGTTTGCTACAGAATTGGAATGGTCCATTATTACGGTTACACCGTTTTTCACTTCTTTTACTCATCATAAGTTATACCTCTATTATATTGAGAGTTGTTTTTGGTAGTAATCCATTCCCATAGTCTACCAGTTGTGCCCCAAAATGCTTGCTTATATGAGAGGTTGCTTCCCTTTGCATTGCCTCATGAAATAAAAAAACATTTTTGTTGTATTTAATTTGAATTCCTCAATTGACTGTGGTTTGGTTTCAAACTTTCAACCTTTTCTTTTCTGCCATGCTGAACATGTTCTTTATTTGGGTTGATGTTGAAAACTTAAATCATATTGCTGAGTACTCTGTTCTAAAATGTGCATTTCATGAAAAGTCTGATTCTGTCAAACTCCTGGATCATGTGGTGAAGGATTGTTTGCCGAAACAAGTTGCATTACAGTATGATGATTACACTGTTTGGCCAACAGCAAGGGTCCAGTTTGACTACCAGATGTATGGTTCCCCAGACAAGCACCCAGCATTACCTGTTACAATCCAAGCAGGGCAGGATGCCTCCCCCCTCACACGTAGCCACCTATACCACTCATACACATATAATGTCTTTTACACTTATCGTAGAGCTAGGTTTTGTCTTATAATAGTAATTTATATTTTCATTTTTTTTGTGAATAGGCTACCAAATGAAATGCAGTATGTGTACTTTCTTATTCAGTTGAACCTGATCTAATGATCACCGGTCCAATACAATCCCCTGCACAAACGACCACTCCCTCTTTCTTGCACTTTAAAAATTTATCAGAATGAAGCTGTCCAGGATGTCCACGTGTCTAGGACCACCACTTTTCTCCTCATCAATCAACGGCTGTCTTTGAACATTTTGACTGTATTTGCTTATTTTTAAACACAGAACATTTTGTCTTCCCAGGCTGTTATAAAGTGTTCTCAGACAAGAAGATCATGAGTTTTACCTCCATCAGCATTGGATGCTTTTGTCTTCAATGTTTTCTGCATTTGGGAATGCCGTTATTGTTTCCTGTTTCTGTTTTAGTATGAAGTCGTAAGACCACTCTCAGCAAAGTAGCATTCTTAGTTTGAACAGGTGCTTCATAATCATTCATAATGAGGGCAGATTCATTCTTATGCCATACTCATACTGCAAAGTATGTGCCTTCTGTAAAATTTATACGAGTGTAAACCTGCCAATCATCTCTTCTTCACTGTAAAAACTGCGAGGCTTGAGAGATGACTGTCCAGATTTCTACAGACAACTATTGAAAGGGTCAAGCAAATTCTGTTTTATATATATGTAACGTGGCATCAAGAAAGAGAAAGAATGCTCAGGGGCTGGAATCTTGATTTCTAGAAACAACAAATGCCCTTGTTAATTTTTTTCAGAATAACACGTTCTCAACTTAAAGGCAGGGAGTTTTAGATTTGAAAGATGGATTAGGAGACTGTTTCATTGTTGGAAATTAGGGTTAAAGTTGGGGATCATTATAATAGATATCATGTTGTACAGCACAAATTCCCGCTCAGTAGCAAGCTATATGCACTTTGCAATCTATATTATCATATCAGCAGACCTGACAGCATCCTGAAGCAGTCTCAACTTTCTTGGAGGCATACAGTGCAAGCTGCAATTTTACAGGCGTCAGAACACTAACATACTGACAAGATCTTTTGCTGTCTATGGCCGAGGACCCATTCCGATCAGGGTGAAGTGAAGAAAATTTGTGTTAAATGCCTTTCCCAAGGACACAACGTCGGGCCAGAGGCTCGAACCACCGAACCCACAACCTCATGATTATGATTCCGGTAGCCTTACCACTAGACTACCGATGGATGATGAGAATAAGCAAATAGGAAACCAAGTAGGCTTGATTGGGTCATAGTTTCCGGCATTGTTTGAGATTTTGTTCATAAATATTTTCTCTGATTTTGTGCTTGCTTTATCTAATCAGAGACCCTTGTGATGAAAATGCTGCCATATAAAGATACTACAAAAAAGATGGGTCACTCAAGGAGACACTGCTGAGTGCTAGTGGAGGAAAAAAATGTCATCACAATCACACAACATGGAGGATGTCTTACGGCAGCTATCAAGGGATATAATTACGCCAAAATTTGCAAGCATTAAACAGACTGCCAATGAAGCCCTTGGTGAGTTTTTTATTTATTTATTTTTTAAAATTCGTTATTGCTTTGAAGTTTTATATAGTTTTTTTTTATAGTTTAGTGTCTTGTTATTGTCAGTTAATATTTGCTTGTCCATATAGTTACATCAGTTTAACCTTTCAGGATTGAAGATGGCAATGTAATGAGATTTGATTGATAATACTAGTAAACTCCTAACTTTTTGTTTATAGCACTATTGATTAAGCATTTTTACTCATTGTCCTGTGTTTCAGTTAATTTCAGTTGTTTTTTTTTGTAGTGTATTATTGTAAGATCAGCTTCATGAATATCGAAACCAAGGGCTGTCCAAAAATGGTTGATTTAACAGTAGTTATAGTTAAGTTCATAAAATAAATGTAATGTGCCCTCAAGAAGACGGCTGTTTGTAATGTAGCCTTTACGTAGAGATCAACTGAAATATAACTTATCTTTCCTTTGCTCATTGTCACGTCCCTTGGTATGATTTCTTTGGTCTAGTTTATCTTGTTTTGGGCGGGGGTGGGGAGGGGGGGGTGTTAATGTATTGGGAAAGCACTTGATATAACTTGTAATTATTTCCCATGTGTCTCTTCTCATTAACAACAACAGAACTACTTCAGAATGAAGAAAAGATAAAGACCATTGAGGCATGGGAGCTGAGAGAGATTTGTCTTCAGCCTCTGCAGCTTGCGCTAGAATCTCGAGCCAAAAAACTGGGACACACGGCCCTCGCTGGTATTCAGGTGAGATATTATTTCTGTACTGAGAAACAGCTGTCTGGTCAGCACTAATACCACTTATTTTTTAGAAATTACTTTTATATGCTGTGTCACTAAGGTGTTACAGTATGAGCACATGATCACCGTTCATTTCTGGCAATGAATAGGCGAAGGGCTGGATACCTGTGTGGCATCACTAGAAAAAGAACCCAATTTTCTACAATTTCTTTTGAAAGTGAACAGTGTGAGCCACTTGGTGTGTTGCCCCTTGAAATCCTTATTGTCTTAGAAATCGCTACTACTGTTTCTGAGAAATGTGAAGTATATTAGATTTTTTAATGCTGTAATTTGGCACATGAGACTAAAAAGTGTTTTTAAAGAATATCTCAGCTCAATTTCTTATCAAGGAGGTCAGATAAAGATGATATTCTGACTGAAACAACGTTAAGTTGCGTCATTGTATTGGTTACTTTTCTCCAAAGTTGACACACAGGCTTTAAAGGGGCTACTATCCCTCACAAGCAGTAATTTTGATAGAACCGATTTTGTTTTGATTGGATTTGAATATTATGGGTTATCAAACTTGTATCTATACTTTAAAAACAGAAATGGAGTCTGTCATGCTAAAGGCATCAGTTCGACTGCTTGGTGTAAAACTCTGTCATACGTCACTTTTCACCAAGCATTTTGAATTGTGGCTGTGCTGCTTGGCAGTTGTTTAGTTTTTTAACCTATGCAGTAATTCTCTTCGTGTTGTATATTATGGTCTATGGCCTGTTTCTGGGTCAGTATTGTACTACTGAAAGGGACGTAGATAACCAATGTGAGAATAAATGGATTCGCTGGTGTGTGACTTTCCTTTTGTAATACGAAATAAAGTGTGGTTGGCAATAACAAATATTCATAAGAACCCTGTGTTGTAAGGTTTGGTGCATTTCTTAATTTAACATCAAAATAACAACCATCCTTTTGTGTGTGAACAGGTGATGTTCAAGGATGAGCGCTTTCGCAGCTCCATAGAAACAAATGAGGAGGACAAATGGCTGCCCTCACAGGTGCTGACAGTCCTGGCCATAACTCCAAACCTTGCTGAAGACTTGCAGGTGGAAGTCATTAAGGTAAATGGATCTGTTACATAGGCAAACTTTTCTAAAGTGAAGGTTAGTTGTAAAGAGGGGGGGGGGGGTTATAAGGATGTTTTATTTATCATCTTACAAAAATGGACTGTACAGTAGGATAGTTAAAAGCATTTAAGACAGATCAGGTTAAGAGCTTAAACGAAACTTCCTGCTTGTGACTCTAAATAAGTAGTTCTTATACTTACTGAAATTTGTGTCTGACATTGTGGTATTTTACAGAATGAATGTTGTTTCAACTTTAATTGTGCCTTTATATGGTATCATTTTTTCCCCCAAGTATTTTTTACAAGTTTAATATCCTTGTCATCTTAAATTAGTGATTTAGAAGGCAGGCTTCACTCCTTGATGTTCAGGGAGTAGGCCTATTTTTGTTTTTTTGTTTTTGTTGTATGATCCAATTTTCGGTTATTTGTATGGCATGAGAGAGCTGGATATAAGACAATGTTCTGACAAAAGACATCACCCTTGCTTAAGTAGACACCACCCTTCCTGCAGGGATCTGTTCTTACAGTAGATATCACCTTTACCACAGGGATCTGTTTTTGACAATAGACATCGCCCTTACTGCAAGATTGTGGCATATGGGTTGTGCCTGACCTGTCATTACACATATAAGTTGTATTGCTACGAGTCTGTCCTTAGCACACTCTGAGTTCAGGCAGAGCCTAAAATCTATCTTTTGATCTCAGTGTCTAGTGGCACATGCATCATTACTTGATTTCAGAGCTTTGTTAGGGCAGCCCTTTTGTGTTACATTATGAAAGGGCTTGATAATATATAATATATATGGCAGATGCACACATTGTTGAAAAGATAAAAGTTTTTTTATTTTGCGAGCGTGTCAGCGGCGACTCATGTGTCATTGTTTACGGGGAACTATGATCACTGTATGTGTCATAATATTTTACCTGATAGCTAACGGATTGACTGAACTGAAGTTTTTACTTAAAAGTATAGCATGGAATTTTTGGCTTAAATAATTGTTTGTGTAAGTTGTAGAAATGAAAACAGATAAAATACTATTTCACTTTTATTGGTGCCCATGAAAAATTTGATTTACAGTAGCATTCATACAAGCATACATGCTAAAATTTTACTTCAGTGCATAGCAGCGCTTTGGGTTTTTTTTATAGTACAGTTTTCATGTCTTGCTCAAAAACACACCCCATGGACCACCCGCCTAATGCCGAGTCACCAACATATGTCTGGCATTATTGTAAACCTGTGCTCTTTAACCACAGGCTACTGGAAGCCACAGAGTATCCGTAGAAAAGCTCCTCTTTGTGTTATCAGTTTGAAATACATGTAGCATGCAAAGGTAACGCTTCAGTGACACTGTCTCTTTTTAAAATGAGATGAGAGTGTATGGTGCTGTCTGTGGTATGTGGCTGGTTAGTGTTGTACACGAGAACTTAATGGGGGGAAATAGCAGGTTTTATAACTGCTACAGTTTCTTTTTTATAAGGCAACTTTTACATTTGATGAAAAGGGTATTGAGGACAACTGCAGTGGTAAACTAATCAAACGTTCATGATTAATGTTTATGATTTTTCTTATATGCTTTAGTCTGTGAAAGCTGTTCAGTCATTTTGATGATACAAAGTTAGTTAAAAGCTCCCAGTCATATGTGAAATTAATGAAATCATTCATCATGCATTGAATAATTACAATATAAGTCACCAATTCGTTTTCTACCGTTGTGTGACTCCTGTTCCTTTGTGTTGTGCAGCTATTGCTGAACATGACTGTGACTGCATCATGGTGTACTAGCGCTAACACCATCATAAAGATTTCACAGGTGAGTCCTTTTTATTCTCAGAGACAAATAGATATTATCTATGAGCTTTGACTGGATTTTAATCAATTTTCTTTTTAGTGCGAACTGTCTGGGTTCGAGAGGACATATATTATTGTTGGTGTCCTCTTTTTTTTCTTTTTTTGTCATTTGTTAGGTTTCTTGTTGTCATTCTGTGTTATCCATTAATTTGTACTCATGTTCATAACAAATATATGCTCAAATTCAGCAAATTGTTCTTTGATTATCTTTTTAAGTGAAAAGAAACTTTATTAAAGATTTACTAATCTGATTGCTCATTTGTTTTGCTTGTTTTGCTCTACTTTCTTCGTGGCATGTATTTGAGGAGAACATATTATGTCAAGTCTCTGAACGTATGTACTTTGCTTAGATGTACTTACTCATACTCAGATTTGATAACCAGTGAGATTAAATGAATATATGCATCAAGACAATCAAATTATGTTTCAATGGGAAGTCTGTAGACTTGGTCTTCCTTCAACTGCAATACATGCTGTCGTACTGTTGTAGGATTAGTCAACTGGAAAAACAGTCAATATGATTGGGCTGAAAAGTGGTGACATTTCAGCCATTATTCTTTATCAAATTAATTTTTTTTTGTACAGAAAAAAAGTATAACCACCCATCGTAAGTATGTTATGAGTCATGGCTGTGCGTTCAGTGAGCTGAAAAATTAACAAGCATGCCAAGCTTTTCCCTGTTCGAGTTTGTTTATGATCAACTTGTGGAATCTGTTACTGGGCGGTTGTAAAATGGGTTTGTAATTGAATCTTCATGTACAGTTGAACGAATGCCCGCTGGAAATTTATTCCAATGTCTATTTTATTGATCCTGTGGTTGTATGTCTTACTTCATTTGCATAAAGACTAATGGCGTGTGTATTACTTCATGGGTAGAGACTATCATCTAGATTCACACAGAGTTTTCGTCTTGTGGATAGCAGAATAAAATGAATTGGTTTTTCGTTTAATATTGCATCTATTCCTGGAGGTTCTTTTGTAGTGACACTGTTGATATAAGGTACTCACACGCATGTGGTGGATATGCTTATGATTTAATGTAGCAAAGTGCTGTAACCAACTGGTGGAAGGGTGAAGTGCGATGGTTAGCAGTCAGCAATAAAAAAGAAAAAGGAACTACACAGGTTTATTTCACAAAGTTGGAGGACTTATTTACTTTCATGTGTACAATATGGTGATAAAAAATTTGGTGGAAGAATGTGCCAATAATAAAACTTTTTTTCTAAGAATAACTATTTTAGTAAGTTGAAATCAATATTGCTGTCAACTTGAGGATTGCAAAATTTTCTGCTTTTAGAGCAAAACGTATGCTTGTGGCCTGCTTTGACTGACTGCTTAACTTTGAAAAAATAAATATCAATGGCATGATCATATTAGGTCCTTGTTTTCAGTTAGTTGTGAAAAAGAACGAAACATCTTTTAATACTTTCTGGCCCTGAGAATAGTCACAATAAGTGTAGAGGACTGGCATAAGTTCAAATGATGACCCACAAGGATTGGTTTATTTTCACAAGTGAAATAGTTTTTTAAATATGTTTTGAAAAGTGGGAATTCTTAGCCTTTGCAAGCTGCTTTGTTTACAGAGGTTTGTAATGGATAGGATTTCTGAGCATCTCTCCAAAAGAGACAAAACCTTGTGTGGGATTAACAAGGGTGGTTTTGCTGTCTTTGAACTGAGCCATACTGTACAGAAAAAAAGTGAAAATAAACATTTACAAGATGACTTACGTTTGGAGTTTGAAATTTTTGTGGGATGGATAATTACCAGATACATGATATGTGTCTATATTGCTATAACAGGAAAGAAGCAGGAGAACACAATTCTATATATAAGCTCCTTAGAATTTAGCAAAGTTAGTCTTATTTTCTAAGGTCTCAGCTTACATTTTCCAACTACAGATTTGGTTTTAAATTTCCTTTTTTATTATTATTTTTTTTCGTATTGTATATCTTCCAGTTATGGATTTATATATAATCAGAGACTTAAAAGCATGAAGACATTGTGCTATTTTCTTGGGGACCATGCATGTCAGGTGCGGAGTTCTAAAGTGCATGTACTTGAGGAATAAGGCCCAGTGAGGACTATTGCTCAGATTTAAATACATATACTGTCTATATTTAACTTTGCCTACTGTGGCTCTTGGATATACTACCATTTGTGGAAATCTATTTGAGATCCTGTGATTTGCCGTAAAAACTCTGATTAAGATTTGCTGCCCTTTTGTTGAGGCATCAGATACATGTAATCTGAATAGTGTCAAACCATGAGAGGTGCACTGAATGAGTGGAGGAAAAATCTTCTAAGTTCTGAGCTATTTGCTGCTTGATAGGTTCATCACACAGGTATTTATTATTTATGATTCTATTCTTTGTCAAATGTGGGGTCGAAAAAAAAAGTCTGATGGGTTGGGAAGCAATTCAGACTTACTTGTGTTTTGTAATAATAATGTTTTTTGGTTTAAAAAAAATTTAACCTGGCAATTTCACGAACAACTACTGATCTTTTACCTATTTCAATTTTTTTTTCTAGTTTTGTCAAATTCTCTTCTCTATTTTACTTCAAGAGTTTAAGATGTTCCAAGGTTACAGAACAAGGCTTTAAAAAAAATTTTGTGTGGTACATGATCAGACCTTACATGACACTACTTAAAAAGCTCAATATACCTTGTCTTTGAGCTGTTATCTATTACCGGCAGTAGTTACAATTGTGCTCTGAATAGACAACACAGATGTCATCATTGTTATCATCAGGTCAAAATGACATAGGCTGATGTGCCAACTATTGCTGGTTGCACTTTTATTCTCAGTCCACATTCTTTTACCCCCCCCCCCCATTTCTGTTGCATGTGTGCTGTGTTAAAGGGCTCTATAGTTTCTCATCTGTCTGCCTGAAAAAACATGTCTTGGAGAGGATAATGTGTGTAATATTTTTAAAAATTAATTTTATGTGAAAGTCAACAGGTACAATGTGAACACCTGCTAGTTTTCTTCTCAGTTTGAATAATTATTTAGTAAACGACCAGTGGGTTGGTATCTTTCTGATATATTTTAACCTGAGAGTTGTATTCATAAACTGGCCAGCTAAATTTCAGGAAATATAAAGGCTGCCCGCGCTTTTTGGCTGTCAATTATCTGAAGCAGTTGTAGTACCTATGTAGCATGAGCCTAGCGGGTCGTAGGGTATCTTCATATGTACATTGTATTTTTGGATTTTTAAAAATAATTGTCATTTGAGCTTATGCCGGAAATATTGAGAGGATTTTAACGCTGACATGTCGCAATCCTATTCTCTGCATTGTCCCAGAAAGTTTAATATTAAACCATAAACGTTAGCATTTGTAGCCTAAAAAGGGATAGATTTCAAGCTTAAAGCGTGCAGTATCCTCCAAAATGTTAAGAAAAGAATGGAGATTTGATAAATGAGGATGCCGTTGCGGTACGTGCAGGCAGATATTTATGGCGAGTGGAGAAAACAAAAGAAAACAGTAGCACAGGACCTAGTCAGTAGGCACAGGACCTAGTCAGTAGCACAGGACCTAGTCAGTAGGCACAGGACCTAGTCAGTAGGCACATGACCTAGTCAGTAGGCACAGGACCTAGTCAGTAGGCACAGGACCTAGTCAGTAGGCACAGGACCTAGTCAGTAGGCACAGGACCTAGTCAGTAGGCACAGGACCTAGTCAGTAGGCGAGGTGACTTCTAGAAGTTTATGAGTTGTTTTTTTGTGTGTGTGATATGGCTAGAGTAAAGACACGTGCTGTCGCTCTGCGCGCAAAATTCTCTGAAGTTTAAGGGGGCACACTGTCTCTCACAGACACTTAGATGCGCACCTTATCTAATGCTCACTTTCACTTGTATACGTGAATTACTCTTTCACACACATACTTGAAGGCGTGTTTGTTCATGTATTTTTCTTTAATGCTAGGCTAACTAACAGGCATCTATATTCAAACATACATACGTACCGGTATATATACATGTATAGTATAAAAGGACCCAAGACCCAGACTTAACCATACCATCCTACCCTCCCACCCCCAACCCCCCT